ACATGTCAGTTATGATTGTTAATGAATGATTATACAAAACTCATGGAACATTGTATGTGAGTAATTTGTGACTCATGTGATACAGAACTTTATTTAAAATGATAATAAATAACATGAACCTACACACACACACTCATGTCACATTAGCTTATGTATAGATACATGTACATATACAAACATCACACACACACAGATACATGATAATACTCACACACACATAACATGCACATTATAGATACACGTCACATACACACGTCATACATTCATAAATTCTCACATACATTATATGCACTATCATACACAGACACATCATAATGTATGTATTAGTACACACACACACGTCACATATAGACACACGTCACCATCACACACAAACACATGACACACAGAGACACACTAACAAACACACTTATTTATTAACAATCTGTTTTATGTACATTAATATAAATTATTCAGTTTGAAATACTCATCAACTATTGTGTATCAATGATGAGAATTACTGACCTGATGAAATCCTGTAATAATGTATCTCATTACATCTACTAGTAGCTGAATACTGAGCATCAGGTTGCTTTGGAGTAGAAGATGATGTATGGCCTCCTATTATTACGAGATAGTCTTCAATGTCAAAATGAACTGATATTATTCCACAGTAGCCCTTCTTCATTGGACCATGATCAGAATTAGAAGGAGAGAGTTCCCTCCACTTGAATGAATCCACATTGAAACAATGTAAGCTGTTTTGATAATCACCACCAAATCCACCGAAATAATATATGTCCTTCCCAATAGCAAAAGTTGAATAGCCCCAGGTACCTGGTGGTTGGGTACCAGTAGTAGGTTTCTGGTCCCAAGCACCAGTTGGTAAGTGATACACCTCCATCACATCATAGTCTACTCCAGACCCGTACCCACCCCACATATATAGGTAGTCTCCTACCTTTACTGTGGAGTGATTTCTTCTCTCCACTGGTTGATAGTCTATAGAGAACAAGAGGTACCAGTAACAGAGTAACAGTAATATAGTGATGAGTTAGAATAAGGACAGGATACAGAGGAGTAAAGTAAGTGAGAGAGTAAGAGAGACAAAGAATGAATCAAAGAGATACAAAGAGAAGAAAATAGTGGCACTCACTTTTAGATGCCATTCTTCCAAAATACCAGCCCCACCCAAACTATGCAACATAAGACCACACCCATTTATCCAAAATTGATAAAATGAGTTTCAGTCGTAGTGCCAGTAGAAAATCTCCTGCTGGTTCTACTTAGTAGACTCAAACCAAATCCCAACTTCTTCAATTCTCCTATTCAAAGTAATGGGGTAGGTAAGGAGGGGACTGTACCAGAATCCTTATTGAAAGAAGCTCGTAAAACCGGTTCACTGAACCTGTCAAACAGGTAGGAGGCTGTGTGAGACTTGTAACATGTTTGTTAATTCTCCAAAAATGACTTTTTTGATTTTCATTTTTATGACGCATTAATGAACATGTGTATGTATGAGAGTTAGTGGGTGAATGTGTATAATTACAGGGGCATTAGTGTTATTCCTCCTAAACTGTGGAGACACAATATTGATCCTCCTGATGGTAGTACTGCTTCATTTGATGTTGATGAGAGATGGTGGGACCAGGTGAAACTGACTAGACTGGATCTATCATCTAACGAGATCAAAGAAATATCTGAACGTATTGAAAACTTTAATTCATTGTTAGCACTTGAGGTGAGAATGAAAATATAAGATTTTTAATATCATTATAATACCGTAAATCCTTAAATAGAAGCCACATTCGAATAAACGCCGGGGTAGCAATACAAATTAACTATAAATACGCAACACTAGCGCAGGATTGACTCAGTAGTCTAGTTAATAATGCCTGAAGTTCCAGAAGTCAAAAGCATGAGGTCATGGGTTCGAACCCCGCTCTGGGCCTAAGTTTTTTATTTTTTATATATTTTTTCGAGGTCCAAATACCATTTTAGGAAATACATGTAGACGCCCGGGCTTTTATTTAAGGAAATACGGTACATGTTTAGTGTACATGTATGTATGAATTAAATTGTAATAGCATGGTATACTGCATGCTTTGAGACAGCTCCCTTGAATGTTGTAGATTTGTTTATAGTTTAGTTTGTTGTTTATTTTTGTATAAAGACTCATAATTATGTTTACATGTTGTGTGTTATTGTTATTATAGGTCCAGTACAATGAGTTAAGATGTCTACCTAATAATGTGATCAAACTGGATAAACTATCTAAAATATTTGCAAGGTAAATATTGTATCCACTCTCTACCATATGTACATGTACATGTATATCTCTCTCCATGAATACATGTACTTATCTGTTAGGTAAAATTGGCAAAAATCATTTTAGTTTTGCTTTTTGGTTCATAAGGACATCAGAGAGAGAGAGAGAGAGAAAGAGGGAGGGATCTCAGCTTTTATTTCATGTGCTCCTCCTATTAGCTATACTGCATGGACAGTATTACCTCAATTTGTCTTCATAACATTGTCCATTAATTGATACATGTACATGTACGTGTGTATTTATACTCATTTTCTGTTAATGATACATGTACATGTACTGCATGTTTTTTTTTGTTTTTCTTGCTTTTAGCTGCTTCATTGTAGTTAACTTATTAATTTGCAAACTTGATTCGTACACTTTACTAATCCATGAAAACTGTACCTAAGCAGTGGCACACACAATTATAAGGAAAAGTGATAGAAAAACAGGAAACATTTCCTATCATCATGTACATATGTATTTCTCTCCATTTTCTCATTTCTTTACTTGTTTCTTTTCTTTCTTCCCTTTCTTCTTTCTATTTTTCTTCCCTCCTTTTCCCTCCTCCCCCTCATTCTATTCCTTTCCTTCTTTCCTTTCTCTATGTATATCTCTCCCTCCCTCTCTTTCTATTATAGTCTCTCCTATATGTTAGGAAGGTTTGAGTCTCTTCATTATCTTCTCTTTGATGTTCTCCTCTTAATTATGAATGAGACCTGACATCCTCCGGAAAGGAACAGTATTGGTCCTCTAGTATCTCTTGTATTGAAGAACCAGGAGACCACATGTGACGGCCAACCTCTCCCTCGTCCCTCAAGATCCCCTCGTCACCATACAAGTGAGAGATCATGTGACTTTTGATGATAGTCATGTGATGTTATGTAGGTAAGGATGAGGAGTGGGTGGAGTGAGGGGAGGTGTGGTGAGAAAGGAAGTTGTGATGATGAAAGCTATGCTACCTCCTGAGTAAGAATATTAATGTGTCTTTTAATAAATAGTGTATAGTTTAGATTTATGATTGTGACCTTATATTTTTTTAAACAGCCAAAGCCACTTTCATTTTTAACGCGTTTACCCTGTAACCATGTGGAAGAATAAAAATTATAGTAATAAACTTTTACTGCTTTTATCTCAAATTCTTCTTTCCAAAATTTGTCACATTTTTCACTTTTGACATGTGTACATGTACACACGTAGCTCCAAAATTTATTGATGAGAATTAGCTTAAACATTAAATAGCCATTTTCTGAAAAATTCCCTGTACTATACCCCATGGTTTTTTTTGCAATAAAATGGCTCCGAAATTACCCTCAATTTTTATATTACATGTTCTCATCCATATTGATGTCCTTATGCTGTGTAGAAAATTTGAGTTGCTTCCCACAAATAATTTTCGAGTTACATGTATGAGCATTTTTAGAAATAGGCCAAATTTTGAAAAATACCCAAGGCTATAGCCCATGCTTTTTTGTACAAAATGGCTCTGAAATCACCTCCAATTTTTATTACATTTCCTGATGCATATTGATGTCCTTATGCTGTGTAGAATATTTGAACTGTTTCTGACAAATAATTTTCAAGTTATGAGCATTTTTAGAAATAGGCCAATTTTTGAAAATTACCCAAGGCTATAGCCTATGCTTTTTTGTAAAAAATGGCTCCAAAATCACTCCTAATTTTTATTACATTTTCTGATACATATTGATGCCCTTATGCTATGTAGAAAATTTGAGCCGATGATTTTCCAGTTATAAGAATTCGAGAATTTCAAAAACTGAGCCAAATTTGAAAGAAGCAAAGGCTATGTGCATCCATGTACTGTACCTGTACATGTCTACATGCATTTTCTTTTACTTATTACATGATACATTGTTTATTGTTATCATTAGGTTATGGTATACTGTTACTGTTCTTATGGGGTGCCCATTGTATGCTCCTTTTCATCAAAGAGGGTAAGTCATGTTACTTATCATGATGTCATTCCATTCTTTCTCTCTTGATCCTCTCTCTCTTCCTCCTTCTACTTTCTATAGAAGAATTACTCTAACAACTAGAACAGTAGCGTTGCTAAGGAAAATGACTGTTGCTATGACAACTGTACATATACATGTACATTAGATACTCAAGAATTTTTACATTTTTCTTTTTCTTTATTGTTATAATTTTTTAAAAGCAATTGCTTCCATAAAATCAACAATATTAAGCAAAAAAGCAACAACAACGATAAGAATAATTGTAATAATACTGATGCAATATACCTAGCTTTTGTATTAGCTCATCAGCTAGTGCAATAGTTCTTAGAGTATCTTCCTCTCTGAGTATATCTAAGAATATACCAAATACTTTTCCATTCATACGAATAGAACTCAAAATGATGTGAAGCAGTTCATCCATTCTTTCATCGTCAATTTCTCGAGCAACTATTCGTCTTTTTTCTCTTGCGTTTACAATTTTGTGTTCCAACAACTTATCAA